CCCAAAATAACTTAGGACATCTCTTTCCAACATTAGAATAGCAGTTTTGCCAGATCAGGCATCCTGAGATCCTACCAGGCCAAGAAGCCAGTGCTGTACATGTCCTTCCAGAAACTCCCACGAAGCAGTTTCAGACCAGTTACTGACTCAGCCCTGACTACTGCTGACCTCACTTGTCCCTTCTGCAAGCAGGACGTCAGGGGGCAGGAGAACATGTTAATACCTGAAGGTGATTCAAATAACCACGGCAGCCCTCAAGCAGATGGGTGGCTGAAAATCACAACATTTTAGCTACAGGCAAGCTGAATCAGGGGCTCGGTGCAGGCAACAGAGTCATCAACACCGGCCGGTGCCACCAGTGCATCTTCGTGCACTGGTCCTTGTACCCAGCATCATGGGCACAGCAGACCCTCCCCACGTGGCTGCAGCACACATTGCAGATTGAGCACATGCTGCATGTCTTATTTTCAGGAGAAAAACAAACAAATAAATAAATAAATATCAAAGGGGTGCATTTAAACCACAGGGGAACTGAACCAAAACAGCAGATTTTGCCTGACTCCTGCCCAAGCCTCTCTGCTCTCAAAGCTGCTGTGCTGGTAACCTCCGAAACCATTACAGTTGCTTGCAAAGTGGAACTCTGTCCATGGCCTAACTCAGCACTCACACATGCTGATGTAAAATGGCATAGGAAAAAATGCTTACTTAACTAATCGAATCTGTTTTTATCTTTATGTTTCCTCGCTACCCCTAGCATCAGCAATCTCAGACACTTATCTATTCAACTTCAAACAAGAGCATTTGCTAAAAGAAGAACCTGGACTAATGCATCAAGAAAAAAAAAAAAAAAGGCTAAAACACCGTGTGTGGCAGCTGTCCTTAATACTTTTCTTTTAAAGACAGGTCACACGAATGTCACTTATTTTAAGACAAAAATTTTCCTCTCTCTCTCTCTGCCCAAGAGAGCTGAAGTTCTCCCACTACTGACAGTAGTCAACCTACATCCCTGGTGTAGGAAAAACAGATACACGAAGCCAAGGTTATGGGGAACAAGTCTGTAACATCAAAAGAAAAATCCCAGAAGTTTCTAAGCTTGCTCCTCTGATACTATTGACTTTATATTTTTTTCTTTGTGGCTGCTAGACGATGCTCTCAAAAGCTGAAAACAAAGCTTAGAAAAATAAGACACACAAAAACAAACACTTTTTAAAGTTGCCAAACCTCTTTGAATTCTAAAAAGAAAAAAGAAAAGTACAGAGAGAGTGAGAGATGAATGCAACTGCCCTGTGCTGGCATACCTGACAAACAACCAGGCTGGCAACCGGTAAAAGCTAACTGAGGTAACTCTAATGGGTACTGGGTGAGATTCTGCTTTTCATGACTTTGCAAAAGCCACAGACATTGGCAGATTTGCCCCAAGGAGAGGCAAGAATGCTCACATGAACACTTGCCCTGGTGATGATGCTGGAGACAAACCTTCCTGGGATGGGCAGGGCTGAGCAGACAAGAATGGTTGTGTCGTTAACAGGCAGAGCAGATTCAGAGAAGGATGTTTGTCCATGGCCTAAGGTGCAGAATGGTTTCATTTTGTTTGTGAACACAGAGATATTATTGTCTCACCTTGGCAACAGCAATTTCACTAAAAAAAAAAAAAAAGAAAGCTGTTCCTGCTAGGAAATACTAGCTTTCATTCGCTGCTACTTGTCAAATTCTGCTTGGTGCTTTACTGCAGCTTGCCCGACAGCAACCGCTGGGCAAACAAGCAGTGATTAATGCAAGCCAGTTCCTCTTTGTTCATGAATTGTCCGTGACCAGACAGAGAATTCCTCTGTCTTCAGATGTTCCATGGATGATTTTTGCAGGCTTTATTCAGCTTGTGCATTTCCTTACAACCTCCCTTGCTTTGCGCTCCCGATGCAGCACCAGTTTGGAGCTAACTGGACAGCAGCGTGCTGCTTCTGACTCTGGTTGAGTATAGCTCTGAACAAAAATATCGCCAAAAATAAGATTTCTGGGAGGAGGATATCCATAAACACTTCCCAACATTTGCTTCAAGTGTGTCATTTCCATTATTTTTTCCCCATGGGGAAGGTCTCAGGAAATGTAGCAAAAAGACACTTGCTCCAGCTGGTGCAGGTAGACTGGTGAGCACGAACCATGAGGGTTCATTTGACTTGCATACGGCAGAGCCTGTCCTAGCCAGGGCTAAGAGCCTTATATCTATATGGGATGTGAATCCTAAAACCAGGACTCCATCAATCAGCACAGAGGACAAGAAATAACTGATTTGGAAATGTTCAGGCATTTACAGTTCTTAACTCTTAATTTATTTTCTTTAGACCCAGCCCTCCAGTATGAGCCACTTCCCCAAAACCAGGCTGTCCTCTATGTGTGCATGTATGCACATGTGGGAATGTGTGTGGGCAATGCACGCCCCGTCCTCCAAGGACTTGGCTACAGAGGAAAATATGGGGTGTTTAAGGTCTATCCACTATATGTATGAGTCAGTGTGAATAAATTACTGCATGCTACACCCTCCGAAGGCTCTAATCCAGCAATGAGATGTCCTTAGAAGAGGGGTAAAAACTATCATAATCTCCTGGATTTGAGCAATCACACTGGTTTAACCCTCCCAGATGCTGATGTCCCACATTCTGCCGGTCCCATATAACATCTCTCACCATCTCTGTATGGCAGGCTTGCTGTCCTGCCTCACCACCACAGCTGTCTCAGGAACACAAGATCATCACAGCCTTTTTGCCAACCTCCTTGCAGAACTAAGCTCTCATGTGGGTGCAGCACATCACAGGCACTGATTTAGCTTTTGGTGTCTGAACCTGCCCATGTGCATGGCAAAACCTCAAAGCTTGTTCTGTCCTTGAAAGGGCTTTCTTAATCTTCAAGAGTGTTATTCCTTTTTTTATTTTTTATTTTTCCCCCTTCCCCCCCCCCCATCATTTTCCCAAGTTATTTGATTACCCTTCCTCTTTCTTCTCTCTCTTTTTTTTTTTTTTTTTTTAAACTTTCTATCTCAGGAGTTTGGCTCTTGTACATTGCTGCTTTAAGCAACAGGAAAAAAAACAAATAGTTTTTATTCCCTTCACCCTTCCTCTTCTCCCTGCAAAATCAAAGCTGCTTGAAAAGCACAGCAAACAACAGTGGTTTCTGGCGGTCACGTCAGTCCCTGTGGGTCCTGGGCACCCAAAGCAGCCCCCACTGAGCCATGTCTGGGAGGCATAGTCTCCCTGTGGAGGGGCTCAAGAGATGAAAAGCCTTTTGCTCTGAGTTAATTATTTATAATTCATGTTGGCTGAGTATGCAGCCCTCTTCTAGACAGCTCTGTCCTCTCAGCATTTGTGCAAAGGCTAAGAAAACAAATTAAAGATGAGTAAAGTCTGCTTTCTCGGGCTGAAAGTGGGAGAGAGCAGTATCATAAGACAGAGGGAAATATCCTTCACAACTCCATCACCTGAGTATCAGACCACCTCATGCCTTTAACGTATTTATCCCTGTGAAACCATGCAAAGAGCAGAGCTGACATCATTCTCATTTAGCCTTCTGCATGGGTATGCATAAAAGCACACAGATGCGTGCACTGCAGCTACTTCAGGTAGCTTCCCTGCTTAACTTTAATGAAGGGACTTTCATAAACATCTGAGGACTAGGACCTGGGTTACAGCAAATAATATATATATATATTTTTTTTAAATGAGCAACTGGAGTTATTGGCTGCTCTGCAGTTTGCATGTCTCCCCTGCACAATGTAACATTTTTAACTTTGTAATTACATGGTAGGCACCCAGCGCAGAAATGCAGGGTCAGTAGCAGGGCATTGAGGGGTAATTATGTGGCCATTTTTGTCTTGTAAATTACAGAGTTATCTTGGGACTGAGAGAAGGAGAACGGCAGCAACTGCTTGACTAATTGCTAGTTTAAAGTTTAATTACCCTGGCCCTGACGTGCTGCCTCACAGATGCAGCTGTGGGAGGGAAGAAAGCTCCAGACCCTACACGGACACCACACCACATCCCCACAGACATGGCACAGGCTGGCACCAAGCCTGTGGGACAGAAGACCCCCCAGATCTCAGACTCTGCACATCAGGAGTCCTTGGGAGAGCGGGTCAGTCCCTGAGTGCCAGCCCATGCTGTGCTGCCCTCCCCGATGGGCAGACACCTCTGGGGAGGAGAGGGCAGGAGCTGTGTGATGGAAATCCTTCCTCTGCTCCATGGACAATGGCTATTCCTCTCTCTCATCTCTTCCCAAACCTCCCTAAGCAGAGAAAATTTTTAACCACCCAGGAGAAGACAGCATATTGCTCCATAAAGACGGCTCTGCTGCTGCACAGCTCTGTCCTCAGGCAATGCCTCCCTGCAGTAAAAGAACAACCCTTTCCTTAAAGAAAACCTTAAATCCAATGGTTCCCTTAGAGCCATGACAGTCAGATTTGATTTAGCACCAAGCTGCAGAATAGTTACAACTGGAAGGTCAGAGGGATCTTGGTGCATCAGCATTAACAAGTCTGCCCTTCGTGGGGCTCTCGGGTTGGCTGTGAAACACTGAGATGAAGCTGAAAGCAGCTGGGAAATGCAAGTTGTTACCAGCAGTCAACAGATCCTTGGTGGCCCAACTGAAAGGAGCTGGGAGAGCAATGCCAGGAGCTCAGGAGCCCATGACATGCAAAAAAAAAAAAAAAAAATCATTATCCCAACAGGCGTTAATTGACAGTTGGTTTAATTGGCTTTAAAAAGATACAGATTGAATCTGCAGGCAAAAAGTCCCAGCAACATTGGAGATACCCTGGAGATATTCTTGCTGGCTCAAGACAGAAAGCACCACAAGGAGAATACTGCAAAAGACTTTGGTATTTTTTTTAATCCACTAAAACATGGTTTAAAAAGACTTCAATCTCAGTAACTGTAAATATAATGCTTTGGAAAGTATGAGATACCAATGAAAACACTGAGAATGGTAAGAAAAATAAGCAATAATCAACTCACCAGATTTGCCAAGATGTAGTGGTATCCATTCCCATTTTTTTCAAGCTTGATGATCTGCAAGATGAAAACCAAGGATATTTAGCAAAGACCAGGTAAGGAAGTAGAGCTTCATTTATTTGCCCTCCCTACCCATTTTTTTCCCAATGAGACTGTTCAGACGTGGAGAGGAAGACATAGTAAAATAAAAATTCAGTCTTTTCAGAGGAAGGACAGTGCTTTTACACATTCGAGAAGCAATCCTGAAATTAGACCAGAGAAGATACCCAAGCAGATTCTATAGGCATGGAGAGTAAATTATCGGAACCAACCTGTTTCTTTTGGGCTCAGGAAAGTAAAAAAAAAAAAAAAAAAAAAAAAAAAGGAAATAAATAAAAAAGACTGCTATTTTATTTATTTTTTTAAACAGACAATAAAGAAAGAAAGTAGAGAGCTGGACTCCATTTGTGCTGTGACCACAACTGAAACATGGAGCAAGACTAGAGAGCCATTCTGTACATTCCCTTGTCACGAGTCCCAGCCACAGCCACTTACCTGCAGGTTTCAGCTATAGGGCAGCTTTTTTCCTTTAGTGCATTGGGGTAGCTTCAAACCACATCTCCAGAACAAAGCTGCCTGAGCAAGTCACTCAACAGAGGATTCTCCCTGCACGTTCATTGAGATCATTTATAACTTCATATTCATGGCGTTGCAATACATGCTCTTTGCCACGCTCTGTTCTCCCTGATGCCTGTACAGTCAGATCTATGTTCTCTTTTATCAATACAACTGCTTACAGATCTGTAGTGTTTGAAAGTTCCTATGTTAGCTTGGTAGCTGGGAAAGTTTCCCTTGTCTAGGTAGAAAGGCAACACCTATATAGGGTTGCCTGTGATTATGGGGGAGAGGGTCACAGATCAGATGGTCCCTGATGGTTTTCTTCTTCCTTGATTCAAACAATATAGAAAGAATACAGTGAAAATCACATTCTGTTTGCTGGCTCTAGGTTTCCACTGAAATTTCTCTCTACTGATTTCCAGCAGTACTCTTAAATTCTTACCAGTTTACTTAGAGCCATGTATCATCTGCACTTGAACCAATCCACATATAAAAAGAAAACACTGAAAAAAGCACGTAAAAAAAAAAAAGGAAAAAAAAGAAAAAGAATTGTCAGTTTCTCAGGGAACTGCACTGTTTCCATAAGGTTTCCTTGCCAGCAGCACTACCCCTTTATTTCCATTGTTGTATGAATTGTTTCTGAATTACTGCCTGCATTGCTAATGCTCAGGCAAAGTCTGCAGGAATGGCAGCGAGGCCAGAAAGATCCTCATAGCAGAACGATGACAAAGAGACTGCCGTGCTGGATTTGACCAGAGATCGGTCTACCCAGGATTTCTCTCACACCCTAGGCTGGTAGCAGGTGTTTGGGAAGCATCAAAGACCAGGGCATGCGTGCACAGACTGATCCTTCCCATGGGACTGCACTCCCAGATTATCACGAGCAACCATTTAGGGATTTCCAAATGGATTATAAATGAGCTGACACTCACTCTGTGCAACCGGTTCATCTGCCTTAGCCTTTCTCTGATGAAGTGCTCTTGTAGGCACATTAAAACTCATCTGGTTCTCAGCATTAATGTAGGGGTTGCAATTAACTTCACTGAAGGCTTCATTTAGTAGCAGTATCTTACACAACTAATCTCAGCTCCACCAGCTTCACTGTCCTGTGGTTATCCCCACAGGCTCCCGCAGAATGGCTACTGCAGAGGAGTCTGAAGCACTCAGAAAAAAACTCTGTATACCAAAGATAGGTATTCTTATTATTGGTAATTTTCCATCTGAGTATCTTCCAGTGCCAGATCTGAGAAGCAAAACCAGACTCAACTTGTCCCCTTCCATTCATCAACTGCAACTGACTTGCAGCAAGTCCCAGAACTTGTGGGAGGAAGGAGCATCTCTGGGGCACAGCGATGCCTAAGAATTACGATCCAATTCCCCATTTCTCCAGCATCAACAATAGATGGCATTGGCTCCTTCTGCCCAAACTCCCTCTTTGTTATTTTATTAGGTGTCAGAGTCGATGAACCGGAGAGGGCTGCCGACCAGCTTTCCCTGAGCTGTTAATCTTGCAGCCCATCCACCTGAATTATGAGGCTTGCTTCCTGTGTTTTACACAGTTATTTGTGATCTTAATTTATTTTAAAATGCTTGCTCAGTCCTAATGTGTCCGGATGGCAGTAGCAAGCTGAGGTTATAATAGCATTTATCACTTAGGCTGGACGTAGTGAGAGGCTGTGCTGGGCTGCATGCTGATAGCTCGCTTGGGCCACCTAGGTTTCATTACCCACTTCTTAATGGGCCAGTTTGACATCTATTAGAGAGAAATCCTCTCAGAGTGAAACAGTAGCAAAGGAGAAATTCCAGTTATTCATTTTAATGAGAGACAAGGAAGAAACAATATAGTGCTTTGATGTAATGCAACCCACCGCTTATTTATCCCATTAAGGCTACACAGCGCAGCCCCATGGATATCCTGCCCTGAACCGAAGCCTGGCTCATAAATGACAGTTACCTTGGTAAAGATAAATCATGCCCTTGAGACATGACAGAGGAGAAAGAAATCGGGTCATTTTCCATGTATCATTAACACTTTGAGTGCTGGCACCATCATCAGCTAAGGTCTCTGGAGCAGGAGGACCACCACGCTGGAGTCAGTGGGGTTATCTGTGTTACATGCAGGTGGTGTGCAGAAGAAATTAAACATGTGTGCAAGCACTGCTGTGTGTGCATGAGTGACTGCTGCTTAACAGCCATCCCCAGCTCTTCTGTTCACTGGGGAGCACAAATCCACAGCCACCAGAAGACAGAGACAGGCTTGTCAGGGAAAAAGATAAATGCATTAAAATGTCCCTGAGAGGCTGAGGCAGCTCTTTGAACACCTCAGACACTCAAAGAGACAGGACAAACAAAACAGTGACATCCATGCAGAGGCTGCTGGTGTGGGGAGCTGAGAGACAGCTGACAGCCTGAGTTTAAGTCCCAGCTGAATTTCTTGTGATAATGAGCCGAACACTATCTTTGCCCCTCTCTGGTCATCCCCATGTTGCAAGAGACCTGGCATCCTCTGCTTACACTGGGATGACTGCCTCTGCTCCAGACATCCCTCTGGACTCAGAACAAGAAGTCAAACAAGGATTGGAATGAATTGCAGAGGTCAGAAAAATCTTTACAGCCCTATCCCTAACAGAAGAGTTACCCCTGAGCACAGAGATCAGTTGGAATTGTTATTTTATGCAGGAACACACAGCATCATCTCTTATTTCCCTGGAAACAGGTGAACAGCAGGACCAATTTTCGTTTTTTTTTTTTTGTTTGTTTGTTTGTTTGAGAAGGGGTCATGCAAATAGCTTTAGTTGGATGTAAATTTAACTCTTGCTTCTGCTATGTGAAGAAGTTTGAAATAGAGCCTTCTTTTCCTGTTCATATTAGGCAAACTAGATAACCTCTGACTATGGAACTTTGCTTTCTATTAGACAAACCAGATTTGAAAAGGCAACATTATTAACCCTAGAAATCTGATATACCTTATATGAAAGCTTGCAAGAAAGGCAAATTCACTACCAGGTCCTATCAAAGATTTTGTTCAACTGCAGCTGCTGCATGGTCAGAGAGAAGACTTGAAGGCTTTACCCTCCAGAACAATCTGGTGTCTCTTTCATGTGTGACCTATACTTTGAGGTTAAAACCTGCTGCCTCCTTTGTTATGATTTATAGCAGAGTAGCACCCAGAGACATCCAACAAGGATGGATCGTGCTCGTCACCGAGCCGTGCGGCTGATGAAATGGCAGTCCTTGCCCCAGACAGCAAGCAGCTGAAGTGTGAGACAGGAGGTGACAGGTAGCTTAGACAAAGTGATGTGTGAAGCACGAGGTAAGTGAGCTGGTTATAAGAAGTATGACAGTGGGAGGTACCGTGCAATGGCTGCTCGGCACTGCTGAGCCCTTTCTAAACCATGTGGGATGGGATTTGCGGCTTGGGAAGACGATGGCTGTATGTGTGAGAGGGCAAGACGTGGCTGGAGTTGAAGAGGGGACTCAAAAACCTGCAAGAATAGGCCTGCCGTGAGCTTGCATTGGTCTCCTGTCTGCACAAGTCCATATTCAGGACTCAGGGAAAGCACTAAGAGAGGCATGGAGGGAAGGAAAGAGAAAAGAAAAAAAAAGGGGGTCTACAATACTGAGTGATTTATCTAGACTGACAAGGCTGGGCATGCAACCAGGGATGCTGAGTTCTCTGTTGCCTCATGTTACCTGTCTGCCTCATGGCAGTATCACACTGTTGGTCTTGAGCTGACAAAACAGCCAGGAGATGGATGGGAATGAACCAGTTTCTCTTGCTTGAAGTCTTTATGGGAGCTGGGAACATCTGATCCTGCTGCAGGCTGGATGCCCTGGGACAGTGTTGGGCTTCAGCCTCGTTTGCAGGCAGTGCTCCTAAGGACACTACATGTGCCATAAAGCTTCTCCATCTCTTTCCTGCTGGCACTGGTTGTGAGAATTTGGTGCCGCACATGGAGTCTGCAGGACCAGGAGTCTGGCAGTGCCAATTCACACTTCCACTCCAATTTACAGGGGGTGGGAAAACCTGAGAAAACTCAGCAGAGTTAGAAAGTGCCATGTCTTGTGCACACTGCTTGGAGGAATTAGCACAAAGCAAACTTGTTGGGGAGTAAGGGGAGTTGAAGTACTCAGAAGAGGAGTCAGACAAGTAAGGAACATGAAGCAGCAACGCTCACTCAGCATGAATACACAGGAGCTGCTAGTACTTATATGACTTTACACTTTCCAAAATAACACAAAGGAAAAATACCTCCAATGCTCACACAGACGCATGATGAGCTGCAATGAGACATGGATCAGACAAGAATGGGGAAGAAAAACTTCTGCAGTGCATGCAGCCCCCTCCCAGCAGATCTACAGTGACACAACCTTGCTGAGGATGATGTTCAGCCGCTCAGATTCACAGTCCACCACCACCAGCCTTTCCTTCTTCTTCTCCAGCTCCTGGAAGAGCATGCGGTAGCCCTCTTCTGTTGTCGTCAGGATGTTGACAGCTGTCACCTGCCAGTTCTTTTCGGCTGCAGTGTCCAGCACTTTCTGTAGGACTGACAATCCTGTGACGGGAAGAGAGGGAGAAGAGGACAATAGAGGGAAAACCAAGGTGTAGTTTTACAATGCCATTTTTCTGTCCTTCTGATAGCTTGCACAGCTGTCCCATGCTGGGCTGGATGTAGCACTACAAGAGCACAGTAGAACTCGAACGAGCAGATAATAGTCTAGCATTTTGCCCACACACAGCTGGCCTAGAATTAATGGCTCCTGCCTTTTCTGTCCTAGCGCAGGAAAATAGGATGATTCCAGGCCTAGTTTTCTTTTGTAATTGACAGATCAGTCTCGTGGATCAGGCCCCACTGTGGGATTCAGATAAGAGTTTTAATCCCTGTCTTCTTGTCTGTCACTATCCAAATCACATCATTTCTCTGGGCCATAGCTCCTTTCTCATTTTTTTATCTGTTTAGGCTCTATGTTCCTAGGGTTAGGGTTAGAGACTTCCTTAACAATCACAGTACACGATCATATTCAGCATCCCTGTCTCTCCTTGAAACACTTCATTGGAAGACTTCATTATTGTTTAAAGGATCTTGCCTAAATTACATGCACAGCTTTCCAGAAGAGATACAGGTAGCACTGTTTTGCAGTCTGCTAGACCACCCCGCCTACTGCTGTTCTGTTGGGATACAGAGCATGTCCATCCCTTGAGACAACAGAAAGCTGGGTGGGATGCTTTTACATCATACACTTGTCTCTTAACGTCATCCTGGGCTAACGATAACTTCCAGGACATAGCTGTGAATGACCTTACCTCTGTACTGTCCTTCACAAAGCTGCTTTGCTCTCAGCCTCCGAGCTTTAGAGGCATCTGAGAGCTGGGGAAACTGAATCACAAAGCAATGACTCACTAGCCTTGTTCATGGTTTCAAAAGTTAGCCCATATCTTAGAACTCAACAAAGGCTTTTGTTATTTTAAGCAGACAACTAACACTAACTAGAGAACCTGGAGTTTTCCAAACTACCACTGCAAACATACACACATATCATCATCGGGTGGGGGCTTAGGTGAGACCTTAGCAGCTGTCCACATTCATAAGTGCAGGACTGAGTGGTCTTGAGTTGAACAGACATGAAAATAGGATGTATTAAATATAAACAATTTCCCCATGTGAAACCCAAGCCTCTTATATATGAAATATTTCCATTGTGTTACTGGGTTCTGGTCTGACTCTATGAACCTAGAAGTACTGGTTCTGATTATTTTTTTTCTATATATCAATGTCCCACACTCACAACAGTCAGTAACGGATATTTAGAAAAAGAATAAAAAACAGGAAAGGCATAGGTTTACCCTGCCTTTAGATAGCTTCTCAATCTCCAGAAACCTATAGTAGGGCATCTTCTTGAGCCAAATCTATCTATACCACTACATATAATTGCACAGTAATTCTCCTGGGGTGCTTGTGACTTACCCCGATCAGCGTCATAAATGTACACAAACTTCTGCCAGCTGTAGTGTTCGATGACACTGATGAGGGCATCCTGGAGCTCTGGGCGAAGCTGGAGAACAAACTGGTTGGACGTTTCGACGGGGAAGCTGGGCGTTATGAAGCAGACGTGGAGAGCCCCGCAGAAAGATGTGAGCATGTTGACAGTCCTCCTCTCATAAAAACCAAAGATGGCATAGACGCCCTTGGAGAACTGTGAGCAAACTGGAGGAGCAGAGAGAAATGTCATGAGAGCAGAAGGACAAGAAGATTCATCAGGAATACCATCAAAACAAACATTTTCCCTGAGATAAGTTGCAGCCTGTCAGGACTAAATCACTTTCCTTGAGCCCTGTGGGTTGGTGAATGAAACTTGTGCCACATGAAGATCAGGGCTTGTGGCCATGGGATGCTCTGCCCTTGAACTCCACAGACCTGCTTTATCTCTGATAGGCAGAAAGGATTTGGGATTTGGAATACAGTGTCCCCAGGCCTCTGCTGAAGATTTTGCCACTTCTGGGAAAACGTGTATTACCTGAACAAGGGAAGCCCCAAGAAGAGTGTGGTGGCTCACCATGCCCTGGCATGGCAGATGTCTGGCCCCTGGAGTTGTTTTATTTTGGGGGAGAAAGCTGGAGCTTTCTATCACATCCCCAGCTGCATTAATGGAGCAGAAAGAAAGCATGTGCAGGACAACACAGCCCTTTGCGGCCAGTGACTCCAGGAGGAAGCCATGGGTTTGGCCTCAGAAGCTGAGCCCACCCTGAGAGGGCAAAGGATCACCTAGGTTCAATGCTGTCACAAGGCAGCTCCAGTGAGGTTTGTCCCCAAGCAGGAGCTAGTGGCACTGAGGTCGGATCCTCTGATACCAGATGTGCGTTGGTACCTGAGGACACCTGATGGGCAATTTCTGGTTTCCTCCACAGCTGTGGTAGAGGAGGCTGTGGACCTGGTGAGGCAATGGTGGTGACCCAAGAGGTCTCCATGACTACTCCTGGAGGGTGCACACCACGTTCTCCAGCGGATATTTGCATCTGATCTCGGCAGGCAGCAGCTTGTCACACAGAGAGGGCTCTCCTGGGTCGGAGCCTTCCTCAGGAGAGCACTTAATGAGATCGTGGGAGCTGCTGCAAAAATGCCTCAGGATCTCAGTAAGGGAGAGAAAGCTCACACTTTGGGTTGTAAAACTTAGTCCCTGAGACAGTCAGATTCATTTAATATCACCCTTGTTTATGGCACATCCTAATTTACTATCAATAAATCTCTAGGCTGGAGGTGGTGGCAGTGACAGCATTTTCCCTGTGTCAGAACTCCTGGCACTTGTGTCTCCTCCTGTTGTCACTCTGCTTCTGAAGACCTTTGGCTGTGACATTTATCCTGACTCAACATTTCACGCCCTGCTCCCCGGCTCACCCTGCAGAGTGCAGGGTGAGAAGTTGGATGTGACATTTTGGGGTCCCCTGGCAAGCGCTCTGCGCTGCTTGGGAATCCCTTGACCTGGTTTCTGCTGGTATCCGCCAGTACCAACTCTTCTGCACGTGTGGCTGAAAACAGGCTCCTAAATGTGAGCTTGTTCCATGCTTAGCTGGGCTCTGTCCAAGCCCTGTCTCTCCAGTGAGGACCAGAAGACAGTGCTGCCGACTGGCTTACGGCCATCCTGGATAAGATCACCTTGTTTCCCACTTCTCTACTGCCAGCATCAAATATTCAGAGGGAAGAGCAAGAAATCTTGCTTCCAACTGTGCAAAGCAAGTCTCTGCTCCCAGATATTTGAAATTCCAGCTGCCAGATTTCTGAGACCGCAAAGACTGCTGAGAGCTGAGAGCTGTGTCTCGTGACACTGGTGAGCATTTTCCCTTCCTCTTGAAAGAAGCCCATGTTTGGGTCATCCCAGCCCAGCACTGTGTCCCCAGGGTAACCCATCTGCTTTCCACTGCCCACAATCTCAAATACCTCAGCACCTTCCTCCCCCATGGGAATTTGTATTTCTGCAGGGCAGGGACTTTTCCTGAAGGCTGAACCGTGACGGAAATAAAACCCTCTTCTCTTCATTTTCACGGCAGCGTCTCTCTTTGCAATCAGCAATTGTGTCTGTATCAGCTGGAGTCACTGCCCTCATCATGGGACTGACACATTCAGGAAGAAAAGTAGCAGATACAGATAGAAATAGTCTGAACGGCGTTTCCATGTGACTGGACCAGTGGGTCTAATGAACAGTGCGATATACCATATGTGAGAGATCAGAACATGATCTCTGGAGACCCAGGCTTCAGATTCAACGAATGATTAAAGTGACATTCTCAGGGCAGCTGAAAAATACAGCACAATTAATAATCCAGACAATAAACGCGGCTTGCTTGCTTTTTGTTTTAGTCAAACCACAGCTTCCTTGAATTTTATTTTCTATTTGAAATGAATCTTTTTTTTTTTTTTTTTTTTTTTTTTAAACTCTGTGGCTCAGTCACGCTCAGGCAGCCCTCCTACACTGTTCTGAGACACTCATCAATCCCAATGTTTGAAACAGATTGCACCAAAGCCGACTGGGAGAACGAACAGTCTTTATCATTAGTATGTTTGGAAAGAACCCGAGCTTGCTTTGTATTGTGAGACCATGAGGGGCTGTGGACAAGGCAGATAATTTGGAAAAAAAAGACTTGCTGAGGGTTATCACCCAAGGAACAACAAAGAAACTGTTGTGTTATTTAAGCTGGAAAAAATGAAGAGCAAGAGAACTGAAGCCACCTTTCTGGGATGGAACTTGGCAACATGTAAAAGCAGTGGCTGCAAAATGGTTTAAATCTCAGGGCTATTTTAAATTACAGATATGCCAAGTGTATTAACCCAGTAGAATTAAAAAGAGGCTGCTGCCATTTATTTGCTGCACAAAGAGGTAGTTGGAGTTTCTTTATACTTGCTTTAATTGTTTTATTAAGCAAATTTATTAATAATTTTGTTCGCATTTGAGAACAAACTTCCTAACAAAATTCTCTTAACTATTATAAACCTGAACTAGAGGAAGCAAATATTGTAAACTACTCTTTGTTTTCGCAGTAGGGAGGAAGCTTATCAGCTCCTCAGCAGTCACAGTTCTCTGACTGATGCCTTTCTGAAAAGATTAAGAAATATGACAGGGATAAAGATCATAGTGGGATGAAAAGTCTAAGAAGATGAGCTCCTCTGGTCAACTGGCTTGTGATAATATCACTCTTTGCAAACCTCATGCTAACTACCTGTTAGCAGCGAGATGGCCACAGGCTGGTTCTTCTTGCAGAGGAACACAAATTCACAGTTGAATTTGGACAGTTCAGCCTCTGATGCTCATGCCTGTAGGCAGGAGACTAGGAGTATTCAGCAGCAGAAGTGTAAAACCAAGGATGTGAGCATGAGTGAAGAGTGTTTACTTAGATGCAAATGCAGACGTTTGTGGTGGTTTGCATGTGCTACTCTTGGCCTCTGGGCTGTACAAATGGAAAGAAGGGCAGAGAATATTTATTTTGGGCTGTAACTGTGCTATTATCTTACAGTGAATTTGTAGTTAATTACAGAAGGATTTCCCCTTTAAAAAAAAAAAAAAAACTCAGAAAATATAGTTCATAATGAGTGATGGCAAGTACATCTGCATTTGTCCTGAGCAGTCTTGCACAATTGATCTGGTTGGGTTTCTGGATGGGACACTCCTGGCACCAAGCACCATTGCCATCCAGATCCCTCATTCTCCAGGCACAGGATCTCATTGCTGAGGATTTTTATTTATTTTTTTAATTATTTTTAATTTTATTTTATTATTATTTTTTTTCCTCAGATTTTCATTCCACAAAAAAAAAAAAATAAATCAGGTAAAAGCAAAGGCGTTAACTTGACCGTCACCTGGTTATGCTGGAAAGACAACTCAGTGACAGCCAGCTGTTTTTGGACACAACGCCACAGTGCCTGTTGCAACCAGGTGAGGTGGGAGCTCCTCAGATCTTTCTCCAAACACTGCTACTTACAGTAGAAATCAAAATAACCTCATAAGATTCCTGGTACCTAGTTAGAGGGTGACTGATGTGGTTGGGTGAAACGTTGGAGGCCCCCCTCTTCCTACAGAGAAATAGAGCCACTGCGGAGCTGGTGTGCCCTTGGATTCTGACAGGGAAAAACATCCATGCTTCAGTCATGCTTGAAATCCCCAGGCTGTAGGATTTCTAGTCCTGCAGTTTCTCTCTCATTTCCCTTTTCATATGGAAATATTCCAGGTAAAGCACTTAAATTTGAGAGAGGAAACACTGGTTTTACTGAAAGCAGGATGGGACACCTACCTAGCAGCTGAAGAGAGGCAGCTCTGGTCACCTTTGCAAACACTTCTAAGAAAATACATGCCTACTACTTTAAATTGCACATTTCCTCTGCAGAAGAGGAAAGAAAAAGATATGCTTTGAGTCTATACAAATTTCTAGGACACTTTATTTAGCTAAAGCTGTCAAGTGGTCAACAAGAGAGCAGCTGCACAAGACTGATTTCGGCATTCAGGAGGGCCAGGGATTATTTGGAAATGAAGATTTGAACTGACTCCCATGGGAGGCAGATGACAGATATAATGGATCTCTTATGTGAATGTTGTTGAAAGCAGAAGGGACACCAAGAAGTTTCTCTCAGAAATGGTTACCACAAAGAAGGGCTGCCGGTCTTGGGGTCTGAAAGAGGAAGAAAGGCAAAAGGGCTGCACAGAAGGATGGAAATGAGGATTTGGTTTCCAGGAGTGAGAATGGTGCCATCCTGCTGAGAATCTGCAAACAGGAGTGAAAAAAAGGGAACTGCTTCCCATGGACACAGCTGGAGAAGCCTGGTAGGAGATCTTGGCAACTGCTCATCTGCCATTTCCTTTAGAAGCAGAATTTTCCCCATTTCACTGAGTTTAAGACTAGAAGGGGACATTAGATCATTTCTACTGACTTCTTGTATCTCACGGACCATTAGGTTTCACCCAGTTACCCCTGAAGGAAGTCAATAATATGGTTTAGTTGAAGGCATTTAAGCTCTCAGGAGACTCAACTGCTGTGTGCCTCTGTCAGAGAACAGGAATAACAGAGACAGTGCTAATACCCACAGCAACAGCAGCAGTAAAAAAACTGATTAAATGCAATATCCCCAGATGTTCCCCACAAACAATTCATAATCTCTGTTGCAGAAGGAGACAAAAAAAAACAAACACCACCAACAAAAAACCCACAGATGGTCCCTGTCAG